CACCGGTTCGTGAAAACCGGTGCCAAAAAAAATGGGCGAGATTGAAAAATTCAAAGTTGGCACCGGTTCCAACCAAAACCGATGCCAATCATTTAATTAGCACCGGTTCAAACCGGTGCCAACTTATAAAAAAAAAATAAGTATGGCATAGAGTTGGCACTGGTTCGCCTTAAACCGGTGCCAACTATGTTAATTAGCACCGGTTTAAACCGGTGCCATTTTTGAAAAAAAAAACCGGGTCTTCTTTGTTTTCATTTCATTTCCCATACTCTTTCTTTCTCTTGCTTTCATTTCCTCTAAACCTGGGCACGGGCCGGGGGGGCCCGCGTGCCGCCCGGCACGGCCCGCCGTTCGGCGCAGCCCGGCACGGCCCGAAGTCAAGCACGGCACGGCACGAAGTTCAACTTCCGTGCCACGGGCCGTGCCACGGACACGGTGGAGAATTCCCAGGCACGGCCCGGCACGAGCACGGGCATGGCCCGCCGTGCTGGCCCGCAGGCACGGCCCGCGGGCCAACGGCTATAAACGGCTAGTTTTTTGCCAAAAATTCTATAAATACTCACCTCCATTTCATTCCCAAATCACAAAATCACAATCTCTTCTTCTTATCTCTTATATTCTCTAAATCTCTAATAATCCTTATTTTCTTAAATTCTCTAATTATTCTCTTAAATTCTCTAATTATTTTCCTAATATCGGAAAAAATTAAAAAGTTCGTAATCGTAATTAGTGGAGCGTTGAAGCACGGTTGTAAGATCTAAACTAATCTTAAATTTATTATTGTTTTATTGTTATTATTAGAATAATCTTGTTTAATTATTATTGTTGTTAATTGTTATTGTTGTTGTTATAATTGTTGTTATTAATTATTATTATTGTTACAATTGTTGTTATTATTTATTTTTGTTGTTATTGTTATTGTTATAGTTGTTGTTATTAATTATTATTATTGATATTTTTATTGTTAAAATTGTTGTTATTAATTATTATTATTATAGTTAACCACTTTTTATTAAAAAATTAATTGTTAATTATGGCATCGAACAACCCATCATCTAGGTCTAGGGGGAAAGGCCGACTTATCCGTAGTAGTAGTTCTAGGGAACCACCAAATACAACGAGCCCCCAAATTACGAGTCAAACCAATGACCCCATTTACTTCCCCCCGGGCTATGAGCCATATAATACGTCGGGATTTCCAGCACCACCACTAAACCAATTTCCACTACCACCATACCAATTTCCACCTAATTATATCGGTAATCAACAAAACTATTGTTCTAGCCAAGGTAGCCAAGAAAGTACCCGAATTCCCTCCGGTTCTACCCCTTCTACTGCCACTCCCACTAGTCCCCCTACTAACCATCACACACATCATGAATGGTTAACCGAAACTGAGATGCTACTTTTGAAAAACCGAAGGAGTGAGGTATGGCGTTATTTTGTCCTAAGTAAAGATGGTGAACAATGGGCAAAATGTAAAACATGTAATAGTGTATTCACGGCAATTACCAAAAACGGGACGGGACACTTATCTAGACACATGAAAGCTTGTGCAAAACCAGCTAGTGATCCAACCCAGCCCAAAATTTCCCAATTCCATCCATACGGCTTTACATACAACTATGAGAGGGATAGGGATGAACTAGGAAAAATGATAGTACACGCCGAACAACCTTTTCTTTTCTCGGAAGTGATGCATTCAACACCTACATTAACAAAGCACTACAACCCCAACATAAAAGAATCTCTAGGAAAACCGTTCGTTCCGCCGCAATGAAAAATTTCCTAGAGTACAAAGTCCGGTTACAAGCCGAATTGAGTAACCTTAACTGTAGAGTATCTTTAACAGCCGATTCTTGGGATAGTGGTTATAAATATCACTATTTATGTGTGACTTGCCATTGGGTAGATGATCAATGGATGTTACAAAAAAGAATAATACATTTCAAAATGCTGGAATACCCACACACCGGCATTAACATTGCTCACCATTTAATGCAAGCAATAGACGAATACAACCTTCGAGATAAAATGATGTCTATGACTTTTGATAATGCAACCTCTATGACATACACAGCTAATCTTATCAAACAAAACTTAACCGATGTACTATTAGACGGTGAAGCTCTTCATACTAGATGTGTTTGTCATGTACTTAACTTATGTGTACAGGATGGAGTTCGGGCAATTGGCCCATACTACAGCAAAATCAGAGATGCTATTATGTCTATTAATAGCTCTAACATGAGATACCAAGAATGGAAGAGTTTTCTAAAACAACAAAAGATAAGGGTAATAAAAATTAGAACCGATTGCCCAACTAGGTGGAATTCCACCTATGACATGTTAACAAAGGCAATTGAGTACAAGGGCCCGTTAACATTATTTTACAACCAAAAATTTCCACAAAATGCTTTGTATGATGATGATTGGAATAACTGTGAAAGATATATGCAATTTTTACAGTTATTATATAACATGACGTATTGTTTTTCTACTGTTTACAATCCTTGTGCTCAAAACTTTCTTTCTAATGCATGCTTACTCGCCCAACTTTTCGCTGATCATCGCGATCAAAGTGATTATGATCAGTATCTTCCAGCAATGGAAAAAAAGTGGCGTAAATATTATAGTGAGATTCCTTTGATTTATATTTTTGCTTCCATATTAGATCCTAGGCAAAAGTATGAAAACACATTTATGTTAGTTGACATTTACTTTCAATGCATGTTTCTTGACGATGATGTAGAAAACTATAAGACTAATGTGAAGGATCAGTTTTTTGCTTTATATAGAGTCTATGAAGCCAAATATGGCACCGTTCCTCGCTCAGGGCCTTCCCAACCATCCAAAAACGTAAGTAAGAAGGCCAAACATTTGTTTTCACAAGCTACTAACTTGATTTCAAGGTTTTCAGGTGATTCATCAATCAGGAGAACGCAAAGCGACGTCTCGGAGTTGCAGATGTACCTGAGTTACGACTTCACCAAAGGCATGGACGACGATGAGATAAACAGCCTCGACCTCCTTGCATGGTGGAAACAACAAAGCTCGAAGCATCCAACTTTGGCGGCAATGGCACGAGACATTCTTGCTATCCAAGTTTCCTCCGTCGCCTCCGAACGAGCTTTCAGCGCATCCGGAAGGGTTTTAGACGATAGAAGAACAAGTCTAAAACCCGAAACACTAGAAATGTGCGTGTGTTTCAAAGATTGGTTGGATGCGGAAAATCGCTCACAAGACCGTTCTTACGACCACAACGACAACGAAGAAGGAACCTCCGCTTCCGGTTCGGGTTCGGCTAGTTCCCAATCTATGCAACTAGCCGATGACCTTGAAGGCGAAGACGAAGACGAAGACGAAGACGAGCAAGAAGAAGGAGAAGAAGAATAGACAATTATTGTATATTGTACGATTTTAAAAATATCAATTTTATCATTTTCCAATTTTTGTTTAATACCATCATTGTATGATTTTTATCATTGTACAATTTTCTCAACTCAAGTAATAATAATATAAAGTACGCATTATTCACATCCAAAGTCCAATTTGCCTTTTTTCCCCGTTTTGTTACAATTTGTAAATTCATATTAAAAAAAAATATATACCAATTACTAATAAATCATAAACATTAAATTTTAAAGTAATAGTATAAAGTAAATATATAAATATAAATATTGAATATACAAATTATAAAACATAAATATTCAACTTATAATTATAAAATTCATAACTTAATAACTTATAACTTATAAGTTATAAACTTATAAGTTACCTTATAAAACTTATAATTATAATTTTATAACTTATATACATTATAAACTTATTAATTTATAATGTTGTCATTAAAAAAAAAAAAAAAAAAAAAAAAAAAAAAAAATGAAAACTGCACCAGCCCGCGCAGGCCAGCCCGCAGGCCGGCACGTGGCCGGCACAGCACGAGCCCGCCAGGCACGAGGGCCGTGCCGTGCCGTGGACTGGCCTGTGAAAATGGCCGGCACGGCACGGCACGAAATCCTGGGCCCGCCGGCACGACCGGCACGGCACGAACCAGCCCGTGGCCCGCCAGGCACGGCCCGCGGCGGCCCGGCACGGCACGGTGCCCAGGATTAATTCCTCCATCTTTCCTCTTCTCATCTCATCTGCCTCTCTCTCTCCTCCATTGAAGCGTACTCGAATTTCTCCATTGAAGGGGCTTCTGAGTTTTCTCCTTTCATTCGAGCTTTCCTCTTCTCATACTCTTTCTTCTCTCTTTCATTCGATCTTCTTCTCCTTCTCTCTTTCTACAATATGGAGGTTAGGGTTTCTGGGTGCGTCTATTTTGAATCAATTCGATGTCCGTGAGTCTTCAACAACAACAAATTCGAATCAATTTCGAACCAAAAATCAGAAATTCGAGGTTAGGGTTTCTGGGTTATTTAGCTTTTTGAATATTTTTCGATTTTTATTAATTGCTTATTTTTTTAAGGTTTTTTTGGGTTGAATTTCTATGTTTTCTGAATATTTTTCGACTTTAATTGATTGTTTTATTTTTTGTTTTTTTGGGTAGAATTTCTAGGTTTTCTGAATATTTTTCGATTTTTATTGATTGTTATTTTTTTGGTTTTTTTCGGTTGAATTCCTAGGTTTTATGAGGATTATATGAACATTATTTTATATATATATGTAGTTTTGTTAATGGAGCATAGACCATTTTGAGTAATGAGATGTGTGCGTTTTGAAATGAGGGTAGGACTGATTATAGGGCCAGAAATCTCATGATTAGTCAGGAAAAAAAACTAAATTTTCAATTACTACTGTAAATTTTCAATTATATGTAAGTAGTATGGGTTGAAAGGAGTGTTTGCACAGAGAAAATATAGTATAATGGTTTGTCAGTCTAAGCTTGATTGCCAAATTTTTTTACTAATACCAATAACGTAAGCCTAATTGATGATAGAAATCCTTGGTTGAATTTCCTTGAAGACATAAATTTTGCTTCTTTCACAAAATTTTGGCTTTGTTATGTACTTTGGGATATGATGAAGGTATTCTTTCATTGTCTGTTTAGTTATTACTAACAAGAAAATATTGACTTTAGATTGTTAATCTAGCTTATGGTGTATATTTACTTGATGAATTTCTATTTTTATTCTTATTCCTTGTTTGTTAGCTGCTGATTCATCTTACTTGTACCAGGAAATATTGTTCTGCCGTGCGAATTTCAGGAATGATAATAATGATCGGCGGGTTATATTATATCTGAATGATTGTTGTTGTGGTAGGAAGTATTGTCAAGAAAATGCATCATGCCTGGTAAAAAATCATTTGAAAAAGGTTAGCCTCGGAGATGCTGCAATTGAGCTATCAATTGAGTAAGTTTCTCTTACCACCTTTTTTTGGGTATAAGAAATTCTATATGGTGGTGTTGTTATGCCTTGTTAACAAATTTATGATGCCATATCTCTTCAGTACTCTTTCCCTTGGTCCATAAGTAATTTTCTTAACTAATTATGTTTGATTCAAATTTTCAATCATTCATGTACAGATGTACTTGCAAAATTAATATGTCGATTTATTGTATGATCCAAGTCTTTCTAGTATATTAAAATGAGTGATGCTATGTTGTTGAATGTTTGTTCTTTACAGTCGCAATAGATGCTTTACATTCCATATATATTTTATCTGTTTTTATGCTGCTTGAATGCTTATGGGATCACTCCATACAGGTACAAGCGGCCAAAGCTTGAACCTGAAAGTTGTGAAATGGACACAGGACTTGTTGGTCATATTCATCTCAATGCGGTTTGTAGACTTTTTACCCTCTTATTCCTTATTGACTTTGTAACATTAGTTTTCCTTGTGGAAAGGTTTCAATCATGTGACAAGTTTTATGTTGTGTAGGGCTTGCTAAAGTCATCAGGCATTGGTATGCGTGACATTTTACAAAAATGTGAAGAACAAGTAAACATGTTACATAAGAAGAAGAAATATGGTTATCATTTTAAGAGGATTCTTTTGTCTGTAAGGTAGGTTCATGCCATGTTTCTTCTTGTTGTTTTTTTTTTTTGTAATGTAGTATCTGATTGTTCTAACGGTGATAATTTGATGATAGTTATTCATAATAAATTTCGTGGATAATATAGTGCATAATAATTTTGAGTCATAATAACTGTGTCAATAATGATCCCCTGCTTATGCTATGTGATGATTGCGAATGCTTCTGATAGGTCTGATTTCTAAATGTCTCTTTATTCTCTGATGGCAGTGAATGTTGCTTCTTCAACCATTCTGATAGCAAATGGACTGACATGCCATGTTTGAAATTCTATTGGCAAGACATGCCTGACTCTGATTTGGAAAGAACAAAACATATCATGGCTGATATGATCTGTCCAGTTCTATTAGACACAATTATTAAAGGTACTTTTTTCACTTAATTTGGGGAAATTTTCAGAATTTGCTTAATAAATTCTATTTGTACTGAGTTGCTTTCTTGTGGTATGAATGTTTTGTCCCCATGTTTAACTTCTGTACTGCAGTGGATGTCATTTCTGTGTCCAATTATGGTAGCTTAAGTATGCTATAATAGCAATGCTTTTGTCGCTCAATTGTGGGGAGTTTAATCTGTATCTTAGAAACTGTGTTTTTTAGCGTTAAGTTGTGCTGTATAAGATTTGTGTATTTGTGTAGGTGATGCTAGTAAGTTTATTGGTCAAGAACAGGACTGTAAGCTTCTAGAAGAATGATATTTTGGGAATAAGGAGATATATTCTTGCTTTAACACTTAACTGGTTTCATGCATCTTTTGATTTTCATAAAGCATGCTGTTTGTTCATGTTCTTTTTCTTGCTAATAACCTTAGCCCCTGTTTCTATTACTAAAGATAGTCATCAATTGATATTCTGTTATTTAGTCACTTTTCAAAAATTCATGTTTGTGATGTGTTATTGTGGCCTGTTTCCTTGCTTTATGTCCTGTTATCGATCTAAATTATTGACGGGTAAACTGACTATAAATGGTGCGGATAGGAGTTTAGATTAGTTTTTTTTAGTGATTGATTATTCTAATTTTAGGGGTTTTACTTGACTTTATTTCAGGATTTGTGCAATTGACATGTTAGGTATTTTTGTATCAAGTTCTGCATTTTAATCTTAAGAAGATAGATTGCTGAATATATGCCTGCATTTTATTGTTGCTGAATATATGCATGCATTTTATTGTTGTTGAATATATGCTGCATTTTAATCCTATAACATGTGCTACATTTTAATCCTATTAAGTTTGCTGAATGTATGCTGTGTTTTAATCTTATTAAGATTGCTGAATGTATGCTGCATTTTAATCTTATAGAGATTGCTGAATATATAGAGTGACCCTGATCGTTTAATTTAGGTCCATGTCATCTGTTGGCTGTTGCCCTGCTGTTCCATTTTAAACTTCATCTTTACCATGCATTCAGTGTGGAATTGATGTTAGCGCATTGAAATCTCAGTAAATAAACTTGAAATATGGTTGATGTTCTATTTATTCATTTTTATGCCGATGACCTGCTCTATTGTATTACCTCGAGCTTCTTCTTGACCCTATGTGCTTGGTATTATATGAGTGACATTGCCTGGTGTTGCTGCTTTCGCCTTCTTTCTAGGCAAGCTGTTTGAAGTGGTGTTTAATTATTGAGATTAATGAACTTGAAAGATGGTTGATGTATATCCTGTGAGCAAGATCTTTTTCATTTTGTGTCTTCACCTCTGTTATACTACCTTGAACAAGTTCGGTAATTTACGTGTCACATTGCTTCTGTTGCTGTTTTTGCATTCTTTTCTAGTTTGTTTTGTCTATTGTGTGCTGCTGCAGGCTGTATTCTACTGTGATGCTGAGCTAGTTAGTGTGTTGGGGTTGATTGACTGTTCCTGTGCCTGCTCAGAGCTTCTGTTTTTTCTGTCCCTGCTGGTTTGCTATGGTTTGTCTTTCTGCTGGCCTGTTGTGTAGCTGTTCTGCGTTCCTGAGTTTGGTTCTAATGTGGTGGCTACGCTGGTGTCTTTGCTCTGGTGCAGTTTGTGTTTCTGTGACCCTGGGACTGTTCTGTTATGGTTCAGATTGCTATGATGCTGTTTGTGTTTGGTCTGGTCAAATTTTCAGTTGCGGTTTGGGTGCTGTACAGTAGTGGTGTGGTTTGGTGTTGCTGTTTTGGTGGGCTGCGAGGTTGTAATATTATTTAATTTTTTTAGACGAAAATTGTAATATTACAGCCTTTTTAATGAAAATATGTAACTTTATATATATGTTAATGTTTCTACATCAATTTAAGTGAAAAAAATGCAAAAAAAAAAAAAAAAAAAAATTATTTTTTTGGGGTATTTCTGGCACCGGTTTGGACCAGAACCGGTGCCTAAAGTGGGGTTTTTTGCACCGGTTCTTACTTAAAACCGGTGCCAATAGTGTTGATAATAAAAAAAAAAAATTCGCGCCTTTGAAGTTGGCACTAGTTAACCGGTGCCAAAGCCTTTAGTTGGCATCGGTTTTGAACCGGTGCTAAATTTTTGAGGATTTGGCATCCCTCAAATCCCCAACGGTTCAAAACCGGTGTCTTAGGGGGGGTTTGAACCGATGCCAAATTACCTTTTTCGTCTAGTGTATGCATCCCTCCCAAATGCACCCACGCACCGTTTTTGCCATTCTTAAAAACACCACCATGATACAACACTAGGCGAAAAATGGTAATGAGCACCGGTTCAAAACCCCTATTAAGCACCGGTTTTGAACCAGTCCAGATTTGAGGAATGCCAAAAACCAGAGGATTTCGCACCGGTTCAAAACCGGTGCTAATTCATAGATTTTGCACCTGTAACCGGTGCGAATTAAACTCTTTGGCACGGGTTAACTGGTGCTAAAAGTACCTAGCGCACTTTTTTCATATAATTGGTTAACCGGTGTGAATTAACTGTTTTTTTTTTTGTTTTTGTTTTTTGGCAATAAATAATAATATTAATACTAATAATAAAAAAAAACATGTACATCCTGCATTAATTCTACCATTATTATAATATATTATAATAATAATTGTAATTATTATTATTATAATATTAAAAATAATAATAATAATAATAATAATAATAATAATAATAATAAAATAATAAAAATAATAATAATAATAATAATAATAATAATAATAATAATAATAATAATAATTTTTAAATTAAAATAATAACAATAATACATAGATATTAATTAATAATCCCAAATGCAATAAAATGAAGTGTCATATTTACAATTCCTCAAAACAAAAAAAAAGTGTCATATTTACAAACAATACTAATTAATAATGTAGTTAAAAAGTTAATAAAATACAAATTCCAATAGAAATGATAATTTACAAATTAAAGGTGAGGAAAGATGCCAACATGTCTCGAACTTCATTAAGTTCCTTGCTTGTCAATTGACCTCCCTTTTGTACCTTGCAAAACTTGGAATAAATAAAAATTATGTTAGAATTAATTACTTAGGTTATGCATGTAAAAATACATTTACAAGTTCACTTAGGCAAAAATTTATTACTTAGGCCTATATGACTACTAATTCGCCTATTTTCTACATTTCTTATCAAATGAACTCATTCTTTTTCATAACATGTAATATTACTTAGTTATCGGCGGCTAAGGCTTAAAATCACATGAAAAGAGCAATTCAAAGGTTTTAGGACGCATTTTCATCCAAAATGGCCCAAATAAGGCCTATATGACTACTAGGATGCCTATTTTCTACATTTCTTATCAAATCAACTCATTCTTCTCATAACATGTCAATATTACTTAGTTATAGGCGGCTAAGGCTTGAATCACATGAAAAGAGCAATTCAAGGGTTTTAGGACGCATTTTCATCCAAAATGGCCCAAATAAAGCTTATATGACTACTAGGATGCCTATTTCCTACATTTCTTATCAAATCAACTCATTCTTTCTCATAACATGTCATTATTACTTAGATATAGGCGGCTAAGGCTTGAAATCACATGAAAAGAGCAATTCAAGGGTTTTAGGACGCATTTTCATCCAAAATGACCCAAATAAGGCCTATATGACTACTAGGATGCCTATTTCCTACATTTCTTATCAAATCAACTCATTCTTTCTCATAACATGTCAATATTACTTAGTTATAGGCGACTAAGGCTTGAAATCACATGAAAAGAGCAATTCAAGGGTTTTAGGACGCATTTTCATCGAAAATGGCCCAAATAAGGCATGTATGACTACTAAGATGCCTATTTCCTACATTTATTATCAAATCAACTCATTCTTTCTCATAACATGTCATTATTACTTAGTTATAGGCAGCTAAGGCTTAAAATCACATGAAAAGAGCAATTCAAGGGTTTTAGGACGCATTTTCATCTAAAATGGCCCAAATAAGGCCTATATGTCTATCAAATCACATGAAAAGAGCAAATTAACTAAGTCAATGGCATACCTCATCAAGCTGTAGTGTGTCCGTACAACGACTCACTATGTCAAACATGAATCTCATCACGTATAGGCCACAATCAACTCCGTTATCTTGTTGTGCGCACTAGCATAGGAACAAAGTACATGAATCAAACATGCATAGCAAATTAGCAACATCTTACGCATTGTTTATTACGGAAATCACAATATCATGTGGCATTACCGGGTCGGTGATTTCCATGTTGGACCGTCACGAGCTCAACAATTTATCTTCTTCATAACACTATAGAAAAGTAAGTTCAAATTTGATTAGTATGACTAATAAATGAGTTAGGTAATGATAATCAACACTACGTAGCTATATTTACTTTTGCAGTATGGATTTCAAGAGGAGCTTTTTGGATGAGGCAATCGAGCTAAATCAAATAAGAAGATTGTGTTATTGGAAACACAAATCACCAGCAGGGTCCAATACAAACTACATAAATTCACAATAGATAAACAAATCAATAATTAGGAGTCAACATATAATCAGGGGAAACGAATCAATTTGACATGGTTAGACGTACTCCTCATAACATGGAGCGAATATGAACTTGTCTCCCGCACGCACTGATTCCTTGATGCTCCTTTCAACATTGTACAACACGTCAGGGTGGTTGCCTAAGATTCTAGTAGTGGAGGTCTGCTCAAGGCATAACCACCCAACTTGACAAGGAGAATCAATGTCACGTAAGTGCTCCTGTAGTGCTCTGCATGCATGATAATCGAATATTAATGGAAAAATAAACGACAATCACCACTAATCTGAATAACATAATTTAAGCGTCATTGAATTACCTTATGAATGTTTGAATGAGGGATATGTTAAGCATTAAACCACTTAGAAATTCCTTCACATCTTCTTTGTTAATCCATGCAATTGCATCCTCATCATAGTGGAACAATGCGTTAGGTAGTGCAACTTCAATAGGAGTGTCACTGGGCAACATACTAACAACATTGTGTAGAAAAGTTAAATCCTTAGAGAGCGATTGAAGGACCGTGTCTCCAACAAGTGGAGTAGCTTGCATGGCTGAACCTCTCGAAGAGTTTTTCTTCAACGCTTTTTCACTCTCCGACCGTTGTTCACTCATCTTCTTTGTAGGTTGATCAATGCTTTTAGGCTGCTCCACCCTCCTCTTTGAATTTTGGCTTTTATTCGAAAATCTGATAAAACAAATCACGCAATTGGTTAGAAAAGAAATACATCCAACACTTGGGAAAACAACCGGGCATAGAGTAAAGAGTGAACCCAAAATCTTACCTCGTTGATCAACCTTACCCAAGCACATGGCCATTTCACAAAGCTACCTTTTGCTTCCCAAGGTGTAGTAAGCCCATCCTCCTCTACGGGTACCAATACTAGGATGACCTCGAACCCCGCAATCACAGAATTGATCCCGACCGAGTAATGTTGTGGCCTAAGCGGTCGCAAATGGACCGTACCATAGGTCGATTGTGCACTAGCATACGCAACCAAATGCAAAGCTCCACAATTTGATAGCCCCAGGAGTAGAAGTGCACAAAGGGTCTCTTCCTACACCAATTTGGAAGATCACTTAAAAGAACCAAACATATCACAATAGGTCGTTTCCTACACAATTGATAATGTAACAAAATTCACTACGCTAAAACTAAACAAAATCACCTGTAAAGCTGGAAATTCATGAGGTGCTGGATTATCAAGCTCCCTCGAGTCCGCATGTGTAGGAGTATCAACCTGCAATAGTAAATTAATAATGCCACCTTAGATCCCACGTAACTCAATATGCCAAAACTAATAGATTTGAAACTACCTCATGTATCTCATCATCTCGATGTATCTCATCTTCTCCTTGTCCTTGTGGGTGACTACATGAGTAGACCGGTGTAGTCGAGGGGAATGGAAAGCCTGGCAAGTTCAATTGCTTCGCCCAAGCATTGAATTCATCTCGCATCTCATTGCGTACCTGTTCCTTAATTGATGCCACCTTGGCATCCAAGTCATGTGGTGAGTTAACACTTGCTCGGGATCTTCCTGATTTGGTGTATTCTGCATCCATCACCTTTTCTCATCCTAGCAATGTCCCTCCCGCACCTAATACCCGTCCTAGATGGTAGGGATTTTCCATAGCCAAGGTGAAAGGGTCTTTTTCTACAGTTGGGACGAGCTTTCCTTCAACCAATTCTTCAATGTACTCAAGCTGTAGCAAAATCAAAAAGGTAACATGAATATAGTTATTGTTTTTGTATAGTGATATTTATGCAAAAGCTTCATAAAGTTCACAAGTTCATAGTTAGCTTACAAGTTTATCTGCATTTCTTTGGTTTCTAGAGCCTTAATGACCCTTTTTTCGATTTCCTTGTTACTCGCATGCAGAGAACAAATGAAATCACCAGCGCGACTCACCAATGTAGTGATTGTGGAATCAGAGGGTTCTTTGGATGACCCTAGAAGCGAAGTGGGGTATACTCCCTCCCTGACCCACGTTTCTTTATATTCACCAAATGTCTTAGACCCCATACGATGGGTGTATTGCCTCTACAATGCCTTCTTGGAATTTTGCTCCCGCAGTTCCTACATAATTAGAAATGTTAGTATCATAACTTCAAAAAGAGTCAATGTATTATACAATTGTCATCAGATTTACCCAAACTTACAATTGCTTCCTTTTTACTTCTTTGAAGAATGAAAGCTTCCCAATCATCCTTCGATACGCTTGGCCATTTTTTCCATTGGAGTTGCTCTTCCTCTATAACTTCATCATTTCCACCTCCATTATCCTTTCCCTTGCAACCTTTC